GGATTGAGTTTCCTATTGTTCCTTGGACTATGAGCCAGGAGGGGCTGAGCGGGGGTGTCCCATGGCTAAGAGAGCCGGTACCGGGGCCTGGAGCTCTGCACGGGAGCAGCACGTGCTGGGGCTGGGCAGGCAGTGGCACGGTGTCTGCAGGGTCTCGCTGTCTCTCACAGGAGCTTTGCAGTGCTCTGGAGCAGGACCATGCAAAGCTACAGATGGAGAGGGAAGATGTAGAGCAAAGGACACAAAAGCTGAAGAAAGAGGGAGAGCTGCTTCTTAAAAATCTTGAGCGACAAATGTCTTTAAAGAGAGATGAAGAGAAATCCTGCCAGGTTGGTGGTCAGGGGACTTGTCTTGGGCTTGGAAAGGTGGCAGTGGGTGGTGGGACTGCATCGCTTGGCTCACTGCTCTGAGATAACCTTGCTCTGGACACGGTGGAGGTTTCACAGGATGTCACATCAGGCCTGTTCCGAGAAGTGAGCTAGTGCCGTGGTGGTGGAGGAAGGGCTGTTATCAAAAACATGGGAGCCAGGGCAGGGCTGCCGGCAGTCCAGAGCAGAAGAACAGCGTGGGTGGAGCTGTGTCCAAGAGCAGTGCTGTGCTTATATCGCACAGTGTGTCGGGGCCCCTCAGGTGCTGGTGGTTCCCTTGCTGCCCCCTCCTTCTTCCCTTCCAGGCCAACATTTTTTTAGCAAAGGAGGAGCAGAACAGACTGAGGCAGGAGAAGCAGGTGCTGAAAAAGAAACTGGAAGAAGTGAGGAAGAAGGTTGTCTGGGAGGATCCGGTGATGGTAACAGCGTGTGTGGGCAGTCGGGTCCGTTGGCAAGGGGCACCAGCCTGGCTGGAGGGGCTGCAGGCAAATGCAGCTGGGCACTGGGTGATGACTGGCACAGCTCCTGCAAACTCTGCCAGAGCCAGAAGCTGGTCATGGCTTTGGGACTCTGGGCAAAACCAGACCCTAGGAGAGACTCTGCTGAGGCTCTCTAGCTGTTTATTTTGAGCCATGAGCTTGTTTCTAGCCCTATGTGGGGTCCAATCTCCTCCAGATGCTGCCTGCCTTGCCAGAGAGGAAAATGGTGTTTAAAGGTCTTGTGACAAACAAGGAGGATATGAACAAGCTGATGCTCACCCCACTGATCCACTACCCTCTGCCAGGGGGCTCAGCTCTCATCACCTTTGAGAAGGCCGAGGGTAAGAGCGAGAAGAGCCCTGCCACAGCCAGGTGTCCTGGTCGATTTGCTTTGGGGCCTGCCCAGCATCCCCTCCCTGGGCCACAGCCTGGAGATGTTTCCTCTGCCAGCATTGTGTGGGGTTATGCCCCCTCCCCAAAGGCTTCGCTGCCCCATGTCCTGCCCCACGGTGTGCTCAGAGCCGGTGGTCAATCCCCTGTGCTGGGGCTACTCCCTGCTTGCAGTGGCCCAGAGGATCATAGAGGTGAAGGAGCACGTGGTGGAGCTGAGCTGTGGGGACGAGCTGGAGGAGATTGACCGGTGCCAAATGCGAGTGCAGGCAGCGCCAGTGGACATCCTGCTGCCATCTGCCCTGGAGGTAGGTCCTGAAGTTCTGCTGCCCCCCGCATTGTGGGAGAGCCGCAGAGCTGCCCTGGGCACGCACCAGCTTTGCGGTGCCCTCTCTGCCACTCCCTGAGCTTGCTTCTGCCAGGTCACTGGTACCAGCCCAGCTCAGCGTGTTAGTGCTGCAGTTCTACACTGCTCCCCGGAGCCCAGGGGCCAGCCCTGCCCTGGCACTGACCCGCCTGTGCCACACAACCCCTGCCCGGTCTTTTCCCCGCCTGTGCCACACACAGATCGGGCTGACTCGCAGCAGCAGGAGTATCCTCCTGTCTGACCTGCCCAGCCTGGGCATCCCCGAGGAGGGACTGCTGGACAAGCTGGAGATCTTCTTCAGCAAGACGAAGAATGGGGGCGGCGAGGTGGAGAGCAGGGAGTTCCTGGACAACACTGGCCAGGTGGTGCTGACCTTTGTGCAGGACGGAGGTGCGTGTGTTGTG